GGCCTGCTGTGTTCATCCAGCCCTGCACCTTGTTGTCTCGGATTCTCCAGCATCTGCAGTTCCTACTATCTCTAAAGTTAAAGTTGCCCTAGTCTCACCAGAGTGTAGGGGCTGCTGTCTCATTAGACACCTGATAATGGCAAAGAGGGAGAGATTGAGAAGGGGAGTCTTCATGGTAACCTCACCCAGTCACCTGCATTGCAAACCGACTCTGCTATTCTTAGGTAGTCAAGCTCCAGCTCTGCTGACAGCAAACAAAAACACTCCCTTGAGACTAATGAATGTGTACACCTCACTGGCAAGCAGAGTGTGGCTGGCCATCCTGCAGCAAGTCCCATTGCTGCTGGTATCATTCTGGCAGGTTATTTTCACTGCATCATTGTTGCGGATGGACGATTTGGAGGGGCTGACAGCAAACTGGGCTCCATGTCCAGATTCTTGATGGAAACGATTAAAGTTGCCAAGCTGCACAGCGTCTTTAGCACACCTGCAGATGGAGCCCAGTACAGATACACCTGGTCAGAGCCGGACAGGTTTAATCAGCTCAAGGATAGATTTCCTGTTTGCATCACACACATTCTCGGTCAGATCCACCAATGTCAAGCCAATGATCTTCTCTGACGACTGCCTCCTGTGGCTGATTGGTCATCCTGTGGGTGACAGTGAGCTGGCAAGGGAATGTGGAAGCGGAATGTGAAACTGCTGACCTCAGAAAACATTGAGGAGGCCAAAAGGGTTTACACAGGTTGGAGAACCATGGAGACCCTCTGAGTCTCCAGTGGATCGTGGGAAATATTCACAGGGAACATCAGGAGGATTTTTATCTTCAAAAGTGTTCAGAGGGTGAGAGAGAGGTGTGGAAATCCCTCCAAACTCCAGAAAACTATGCAGAACCTACGCCTGCTGCAGACAATAGGAGTCAATGTCACAGAGGATCTCCAGGAGGTGAAGAGCTAGCAAGCCTCACTCTTTGCCTCGGCCACCTCCAAGATAAACATCCGGTCCAGGGTCTGCATGGTGGAGCAGATGAGATGTGCTTGCATTTCTTCTCCTAAAATGCAAGGGGAGCTCTGTGCTCAGCAGTCTGAAGGAAGATGGATGACTTGGTAACATCATCTCAGTCTAGACATCCTGAGGATCAACAAATATTTTTATGCCAGACTGTATGACACAAAGCCCGCAGAGAGTGCAGCCTCCCAGTTGTTCCTGTCCTCTATCACAGACGACAGCACTTGGGAGAAGCGGTTATCTCTGGATGAGTTGACCAAGGCCCTCAAGTCCTTACAAAAGAACAAAACTCCCCGAAACAACAGCTCACCGGCTGTATTTTATTCAGCTCTGTGGAACTTAATTGCCAAGACATGCTGGAGGTGTACAACAATATGCTTCTGACAGGTAGCATGTGCGAATCCATGAGGAAAGGTATCATCACCCTCATCTATAAGTGGAAGGGGAAGGGGGAGGAAATTAGAAATCGACAACCAATCTCATTGCTGAATGCAGATTACAAGATCCTGTCCAAGGTCATTGCCAACCATGTCAGATCTGCTCTGTGATTGGTGATTCACCCTGACCAAACCTGTGCTGTATTGGGCAGGACAATCTGAGAGCCTCGTGATCCTCAAGAATACAATCACCTACATGCAGAACAGGGGGGTGGATGCCTACCTTGTCAGCCTGGACCAGGCTATCACACAGCTTCATGTGGGATGTGCTGTCCAAATTGGGCTTTAGGAAGGGTATCTGCAATTGGATCTGACTGTGCTACATCAACATTGTTAGTGCAGTGTCAATCAATCGGTGGGAATCAGAAAGCTTCCCGATCCGATCTGGAGTCAGACATAGCAGCCCTCTTCTGCCTTGTTTGTATGTCGTGTAGAGCCTTTTGCTGAGTCCATTAGGAAGGATAGGAGTCTGATACAGGTGACTATTCCAGGCAGCAGAGGCCTGCAGGTCAAAGCTTCCCTGTACATAGATGACATCACCATTTTCTGCTCAGATCCACTGTCAGTGCACAGACTCATGGGCATCTGCGACCATTCAAATTGGACTTGAGCCAAAGTAAATCAAGGCAACAGCGAGGCCATATTCTTTGGGAAGTAGGTTGACCGATCCTTTATCCCCTTCACCATCAGAATAGATCACCTGAAGGTGCTGGGAATATAATTCAGAGGGGCCAGGTGTGCGTAAAAATGTGGGAGGAGTGCACTGCCAAGATGAGGCAGAAACTGGGCTTTGGGTGCTCCCCCTCCTTTGCGGGCAGAACCTGATCATCAGATGTAAGGCACTCTCTCTGTTGTTTACATGGGGCAGGTCTGGCCCATTCCCAAAACCATGACAAGGCAGTCACCCCAGCCATCTTCCACTTCAAGCTGGAGGTGAAATGGACTGTGTCAGCAGGGACACCATGTACAAAATGCTGGATAGGGAGGGGGGAGAAACTGTATCCAACGCTGCCCTCATTCCGATCACCAACTTTATGAGCGGCTGCATCAACCTGTATGTAGATCCTCAGTATGCAAACACCAAGTGTCACTACGTATTGAGGTTCTACCTGTCTCTGGTGTTGCAAAGGATGGGACTGGCCTCATTGCAGCGGAACACCCCAAGTAGTTGGACTGTTCTGTATCACCTGTCCTTCATGGAGAAATTTGCAAGAAAAACACTTTTGACTAGAAGTTCGTCAGGAAGTGGTCAGCATGCAGTGACCTCGAGACTGTGCAGGAAAAGGAGAGGGTAGATCCTGTCTGGTTGGTCCCCAAGCAAAATGTCAAAGTCATTTGGGAGAATGCCTCATCACCAGAACTTTCCAACAAGCATCAAGACATTGCTTGGCTGGTAGTGGGAAGGGTACTACCGGTGAGATCTTTCATGTACACCTGGACGCTGCACCACTGGGGTGTATGTGCTTGTGTGTGTTACAGACTGTCACACATCTCCTGCTGGAATATGCCTTTGCAAAGGAAATTCTGAAGAAGGATGTAATGGCTTTTGTCAAGGTTCGTACTGAGCAGCTCCATGAAGCTGGACACTGTGCTGCTCCCTGGGATCAGACAAACCCTCAGACAAACATCAACTGTGCCTACAGGACCATCAACTCAGTGAAAAAAGCTTGTTGGTCAGCCTAAAACTTGGTCTTCCAAAGCAAGGAATCAACCTCGACTGAGTGTTGCAGACTGGCACATTCCAAGGTCCAGGATTACATGCTGGGAGATGCACTAAAACTTGGGGTAACTGCCACCAAAGGCTCAGTGGGGAAAGACCACTGTCTGAGGTCTTCCTGCTGAAGTTAAATGGGGGTCCGTTCAATTATCAGACCTTCCTAGTTACTCAAATATACATAAATATAGTCTTGTACAAGAAATGCCTTTAGTTTGTTTGCTGATAGAGTCACACTTCAATATTTGTTTGTTTCTTCAAATTCTACTGTATAGATCTGAACTGCTTAAATGAGTATACAAGATATTTTATGAATAAAGCATATTTTTAAAATAAAAAAAGTCAGAAGAAAGGTTTCTCCTTCCTGTCATTTTGAAACATCATTAAAAATAAAGTTTAAAATTTATTACGCAAAATCTCCAACATAAATTCTGAATGGATTCAGGTATATTCTCTTTGACTTTAAAATCCCTCCTCAAAAAAACCAACACTTGACTCCACCATTCTTGCAAAGTGTCACTCCATCTCTAACCTTCCTTCCATTCCAAGTGCTCAAATGTGTCATTGCCTGCTGAATCTGTGCATATCTTTCCCAGAAACCAATATTTGAATCACTCCCATCAGATTTCCACATCTGTCACAGTATCTAAACAGCAAACGCCTCTTATGTGACTGTGACAAAGATAAGCTATCTCACATTGTCCTTCTGAACCTCTCTGCAACTTTTGACAGTTACTGCAACATCATCTTCCAAAGCCTCTCCACTGTTTTCCAGCTGGGTGGGTCTGCAGCTACCTAGCTTCGTTCTGACTGATTATAATCAAAACATCATTTGCAATGGGTTATCTCCCAGTTTCCTTATTGTTACCTCAGGTTAGCCATCAGGATCTTCCAGGCAGCTCTTATTTACTTCAATACTGGTTGGATAGAAATATCTGTAATCACTGTCAATAGTAAACTGCTGGCAGAGTAAAAAGAAAAAGAAATAAAATAATTTGCATCTTCTTTGAAGTATTTATTATGATACATAAACATGCACATTCTTGAATTTTGCAGATGTTAGATGTAAATGTATTAATGGAATTAAAAGTTTAGCTCAGGTAGCAACAACGTTATATAAACTGGATAAGCCTGCTTTGAAATGTACAAACAAGTATCATCTTAACTCCAAAAGAAAATTGAGAGAGTTTAAAATTCAGTCAGATTTCAACACTTAATCATAGTTCATTCCGGAGGGAATTCTGCATTGCCAACGTTTCTTCTATCAGTTAAGATGTTAAGCCAAAACATTGTCTGCTTCTTTAGGGCAATTTAAAAAAAAAATCACATGACACTTGGTAGAACTGAGTTCTTCAAGACAGATTCATTGGTCATTTGCTGTTTTTTGGTACTTTGCTATGTGCATCCTGGTTACTGCATGAATAATGATTACACTTCAAAATGTAATTCATTGGTTGATAGGTCAATCTAAAACTATTTGAGGTCACGATTGGGTGCCTCGGATGAAAAATTGTCCTCCTCAGCTGTAAGTTTTGTAAGATCCCAATAGTCGTCTGTAAGTAGAAGCAGCAGTTTGTTTGGAAAACCAAAAGAACTGTGGATGCTATAAATCAGGAACAAAAACAAAAGTTGCTGGAAAAGCTCAGCAGGTCTGACAGCATCTGTGGAGAAAAAAAAAAATCAGAGTTTACGTTTCAGGTCTGGTGACCCTTCCTCAGTTCTGCTGAGCTTTTCCAGCAATTTCTGATTTGGAATGTGTAAAACTTTGTATTATTATGCTAATCACAATATTTGAAACAAAAAATACAAATCTAATTAAACCAGAAGTTTCCACAAAGTAAAATAAGCATCTATTTTATTTCAAAGTTTTAAAGGTACAATGACACAAGCTTAATAGACGGTGTCAGTACAGCTGAACATATAAATGTTTTCTTCCTGTTATTAATAATTGAACTGAGTTACTATAATAATATTCATGGTGACTTGAATTTGAGAGACATTTTATACACAGAAAAAAAAAACAAATCCCCAAAAATGAGCAGTGAGAAAACAAACTCCATTCCATAATTAGTGCTGCTTGACATTTTCTATTAGACATATGCAACTATCGTTTACTATAGTGATGTGACAGGGAGAAAACGTACCCAACAGTCAATACCTATTCAGTAACATCTCAAAAGCAACATTCACACAACATACACAGATAGCTGTTACCATTATAAACAATGCTAACTGTCATTTAAACAGTGTTATCCAAGTTGTACTTTTTCACAACTGTATTCAAGTAAAATGCAAGAAAATGTTTCAATTTTATATCCAGTGAATCTAATACACAGACAGCAAAGCTAACAGCAGCCCAAACTCAAGTATACTTTGTGATTTCAGAGTTACATTCATAATCAATTAAGTTTTGTTTACAGTAAGCATTGTATCCATGACCTGACACTACTTGGTACTAAAATTTATACGTTAGTAGTGTGAAATATATAACAGAAATAACATGAATATAAAAATACTGCACCAATTAACCACTTGAGCACTTTTAAAAAAATTAAGTTTGACCTTAAACCAGTAGTTACTTTATTTCTTGTGCCACATCCATGAAATTTTACACATTCTGTAGGGTTACTTTCAATGATTTCTGAAGATTGAAAATGGTAATGAAGCATTGAAGAAATGTACCAAGCTAATAACTTACTGTAGTAATGTCTTAATAAAATTAGTGCAGAATTCAAAATATTGTCTGGAAGATACTTACATATTTCTAAAATGTTTAGGTCAATTGTTACTCTGTTTACTGTAAAAGTTACAACTGTGCAGACCCAATCATTACTTCAACCCATGTGTATAGACAATTACCCCACTGAGAAACGGGGTACATTTTTCCAAAATACAAGGTGTTGTTTTATCTAAATTCAATTACTAAAAATCAGCAGCTTACAGCTCTGAATCTTCCCGGCAGATTCTTGTGAATTTAGCTGAAGGCTGTATGTGTGCGTCTATACAAGGATATATTCATAAAATACTTCTACATTCCATTTATCTTACTGTTGATCAGGAGCTCAAGATTAATAGTAAAATACATATGCAGCATTTACAATGATGTAATCTTCTAGTAGCAACCTTTTAATTCAAATACAGTTGAATCAAGAAACCAAGACACACGAGTCATTAAAATCTGGTCAAACTGTAATGCAGGCACAAAGTGTCTTTTGATGACACAAAACCCAACAATGTAATATGTCTCACCATCCCATCCTGTCAAAGGGAACATTCTGTTATGTCCTCATTAAACAGTTAAGAATCACTACTGCAAAAATTCAACTGATGTTATTTAGATTGAAGAACCTTTGCATAAAATTTATGAAATTATTTATGTACATTGCATCATCTCATACAATGTTTGTGAGAACATAATTAACTTAATGCAGATCACATCATCAGCTTTAGCAGGATGTAATGGATTTATGGTGTTGATGGATCACTCAAACTCTGCTTTAGCAAATCACTTTCCAGCTTCATCCAGTGTCAGTGGATCCTAACCAGCTGTGTCTTTCTCCAAACTATCTTCACCATAGAGCAGTACTTTAATGTGTTCACCAAATAACCAGATTTGGTGAGTGTCAATGGAAACAACATTCCTTATGTCCAAAAAAGCTGGCCATCCATTCGCAGCAGAATAAACATTTCATATTTCATTATTCTCTGAAGACAGACAACAACATCAAAAGAACTTGATAGTGATCGCATAGCAAATCAGTCAAGTAGAACTGGTGCTGAGTTTAACCAATCAGTTAAATTCAGGTGGGGCAGGAAGGCGCAGCATTAACCAGCTTTCTTTTCTGTACTGGAAGTGGAGGTTTTCCGCAAATTTTCTTTGACTTTGATAAATTCAGGAGCATTCTCTTGTTCTTCTCCACTTCTCTCTTGCTCTCGTTCCAACTGCAAGACAACATTTGAATATTTATAATGGATTTTTGCACAGGTTTTGACTTGAACTTGCTATGAGTGACCCACAGATATTGTGAAGCTTTATGTGCATATATTATATTAATATAGTTATATATTAGATTAATGACTATCTCTTCTTGATTTAGTACTAACAGATCATCAAGGATTTACTGACTTATTACACTACTGTTACTGGGAAGATTGGAAAGTTTCTCAGATCAATCCAAACCAAACCCAATCATTCCATCTCAGATTCCATTAGAACTGCAAAGTTTATTTCTTCCTCTACAATAAAATTTAAAAAGTGTTGTGAAGGTGCAGTGCTATTAGGCAGTTTCAGCAACAATTTAGAGGGACCAGCAGCAAAGTTGGGAAAGCAGTCACACACTCTAATCAACATTGCTACAGTCTGCCATGGGTGTACACAGGGCCAACTTTCCAAACTGTTCTATCACTATCATGGATATGTCCTGTTCGCACCAGGGGGATACCTGTATTAGAGATGAGCTCACTATATTAAACAGACAAGTAGGTATGGCTCTGGGAATTTTGAAAGTTGAGGCTGGAACATGCAACTGTTCGCCGTATCAGAGTAAACAAAGTCAAGGAACTTTGTGTAGATTCTCCTGTCCCAACCATTTCAATCATTGTTTCAGTCATGCTGATAAAGCATAATTCCCCAATATTGATCATCACTTTCAGAAATCATTAAGGTAACCATAGATACAAAATATACTTGAACTGAAGAATATAATGTTCATCACCAAGATTGGTTTGGTTAATGCCACAATAGATGCAGCTGGTTGAACATGAACTGTACAGTTGCTAAACCGTTAGCATCAGAAGCAGAAAGAACCAACATTAAGGGAATAATCTGCTTGATTTTATCCTCAAACTGCCATAGTTACAACTGTCGATAGTAGGAGTAACCGATGAATGGTGATTGAGAAAAATAATGGCCTAGGCTTTTGTCAGGAGGGTGGACATCTCTGCTATGACAAAAATACCAGATGGTGCCAGGAATCCCAAGTCCTGCCGGGATTGCAGTGAGGCAATGTGCATTTCCTAAAGGCAGCTGTCTAACTGTCTGCACTCCGAAAATCAGATTCCCTGGCAGTCTGAAACTCAGAAGGTAGAGATTAGACCAGCTAAGAGCAGGTCTTTCACAGCATATTTCATTTAGATAGCAGGCCTATCCCTTCAGACATAGTCCCAGAACACCTTGGGTGTGGAGGCCGGGGATTGTTTTGGGGTTACATCAAATATCTTTTGAGATTGTTAACTATGGAGTAGATTGTGCCTAAAAATCCACATAAATCCCTAGGAACTACAGCAAAAACAGATATCACAACACATTGAAAATTCTATAGAACATCTGTTTGTTCAAGCTGTCATGATGATAATAATAATAATAATAATAATAATAATAATAATAATAATAATAATGGTCTAATGATCAATTGCTTTTCAACTTTGATTAATTCTGTGAATGAGTTTACTTAAAACAGTAAAACATTCAAGTTATTCAGCAAACCAACAGCTTGCAAACTCATTGCGGGCCAATGTCAGGCAAGGTTGCAATATTGTATACACAAAGCTCATGGAGTCCTTAAAAAGATGAATTCTCTCAAAGGCAAGGTGCACATTCAACACAAACCTGTTCTAATCTTTGCTGTCTTTTCTGAAGCTGAAGTTCAAACGGAGATTTTATCTTCCGTGCCTCCTCTTCCTCCTTTCTCTGTCGAATCAACTGATCTCTCCGTCTGTATTCCAGCACTCGCTGTAGTTCTGGCTTGTTTTCAGAGCCCAAACCTCTGCAAACAAAAAGTTAGCTGAAATCTCTGGTGGCTTTGTCCATAGAAAATCAAAGTCAAATCTTTCTATTAGTTTTGCTGGAGTTACGCTGATGGGGATCTGGAGCTTCTGACACTTCACAAGTATGGAAAAATGCAAGTCAGAATAATGATGCACAAGTAAGGAGGTACCTCCCCAGTTTTCAAAATTAAATTAATACATTTTAAGCTCAAATTGTAAATAATATCTATCTGGATTACAAAAAAGTCAAAGAAAGTGCATAAATTGATCACCCACTGCCCCTTCCTTCTACCATGGAGGGATAAAATACAGAATCAAAAAACTGCAACACTCAAGAAAATCTCTGGAAAAATCCAACTGACTCATTAAGACTTTCAAACGAACCTCAAGGGTAAACGTGTTAACAGGTAACACCTTTAAGTAGCAGTTAACTAACAACTCAGCATGTACAACTGGAATGTAAAGTTGGAAGGGTTTAAAAGTGGAATCACAGTACAACATATTTTGATATCATGTAGATTGCTGATTACCAATCGTCTTGGACCCACCTTGATTTAAATTTGTATTTTGTAATAATTTCATGATACTTATATGAGATTTGTCCCATAATTGTTTTTGATGCATGCACCTGAAACAAAGGATGTTTAAAATTTGAATGGTGCATTCATTTCTCTAAACGTGATACACGATTGATCCTCTACAGGAAGAAAGCACTTCTTTAGGTTTGCTTACTGCCTTTTCCCAACTTATTAGTTTTCTTTACATGATGCTGCACGTGGTGTCAAGAGACAATTTGACCTGGATTGGCTATCACTTAAGCACTGAAACCATCCTCACCCGTGATCAGTATGTTGCAATCCCTGCTGAAGGGGGAAGTGCAGTACCCCAATTAATATCTTGTCTCTCGTTTTATAATGCCTCAAAACAAACTGGAGACATGGGTATATGAATAGGAAGGGTTTAAAGGGATATGGACTGAATGCGACTCAGTCACATTGGGATATCTGGTCAGCATGAACGAGTTGGACTGAAGGTTCTGCTTCTGTGCTGTCTAACTCTATGACCCCATTATCTAAGCAAGCTTGACACAAAGCAAAAACTAAGTCTGTGACTTTCCCAACACATTTCCTTCATGCCACCCTAGTTATAATTGAATCAAAGATTTGGAAAATGTCCGTTCAATTTACCAGACCTGTTGCTCTGATAGCAAACTAATGCAATCATAATGGATGACAGACTATTGGAAAAGATAATGAAGAGCAGCTCATATCCGTGGAATAATAACTTTAACATCTTCAAAATAAAAAGTTTGGAGTTTTGTTTGGGTGGGCAGAGGGGAAGGAGAGGAAAGCAACTAAAACCAAAGAAAAAATACAGTATCTCCTAAATATAACAGTTTTACAACTTCTTCAACCCACCCATTTGCTATTGAACACGTTAGCAATGGAGGATGGCTGCACCATAATTACTGGCAACAAAGAGTGTGGGATTCCTTCTGGGTCAATGGTAGGCAAAGGCTGCTCCAATCAGTTGAATGCCACTGCACATACACAATATCAGATGTTGCTTATAAACCTGTATCCTGCAGCAAAGTGCTGTATATTTTAAATAAATGTATGTAAGGTTGCTAGGACCAATGAAACACAAGTAGATGTGGGAAAAGCCCTTGGGAGTAGTCTTCAAAGTGCTGATCATGTTTGGATTTTTGGTGGATCATTTCTGCTTTGTTTTAATAGACTCTGTGCACTTTCTTGTAATTTATCTGCTCAGATTTCCTTTCAGGAGCTGCCCTTTTTGGGCTGCTACTTTTAAAACGAGCACAGTAATTTAATAGCCCATCAGCTTTTGTTTAACCCGCTGCACTGTGAGATTTGGAAATGCAATCAAAATCAACTTGAACGCCTGTTAAAATTCTCCCCTCCCCCGTTACTCGTGCTGAGGGTGCATCTGCCATGGCGGCCATGTTTAACAGTGGTGCACTAGCTCCTGTGTTGTGAACTTACTCCTGGTCACCCCCTGGGGTCCACCTGCTTTCATTTTTCACAATTCAAGACCAGAGTGGCCTTTTCCTCTCTGATTTCTCATTCCCTCACCCTCTTGTGCTATTTTCTTTAGCTGTTTGTCTCCTCTAGACTCATCTTTGTATTAAACTTGACTAACTTACCACCATTTACTGCCTTGCACCAACATTACTTTGCTTATTTAATCTCACCTGCTTTCTACCCAATTGGTAACCTCTCTCTAACTCCCACTTCCCCTTCACAACCATTTTCCCTGCCTTTGTAGAGACAGTAAGAACTGCCGATGCTGGAGTCAGAAACAACACAGTGTGGAGCTGGAGGAGCACAGCAGGCCAGGCAGCATCAAAGGAGCAGGAAAGCTGACGTTTCAGGTTGGGACCCTTCTTCGGACCATTCTTTCCCTGCCTTTGTACTTTCCTAAAGTCAGTCACGTTATTTGATCTTTTCAGTTCTGTTGAAAAGGTAATTGACCCAAAATGTTTACCCAACTTTTCTTTCTACGTGTACTGCTGCACTCGCTGAGCATTAACAACATTTTCTGTTTTTATTTCAGATTTCCAGATTTTGTACCATTTCAACTTTGTTAAAAGTGAATCACCTTCTCTGTTGCAATATAGTTTGTCTTGATTGCAAAGACATTGTATTAGATCTGCCTTTGTCACTATCTGACCATGTTCCCACAATGTTTGTTGTGTAAACACTTGCTTTGTTATACAGCTGCTAAGCTTGAGGCTAAAGGCAACATTATCCAATTTTATTTACAAACACATTCTCAAAACACTATTTCAGGTTGTGAGAAGTTTTAAACCAATATTTTCAAAACAGACTCAAGTTGAATTAGACCAATATTACCATTGACAGTACTTGAATTTCAGTACTTTTATTTTTTTAAATAAACTTGATTCTTACTTCATAGTCCAAGATTAATGGAGCGCAGGAGATCATATATCAGCCAGAGTTACTACTTCATTCACTTTACCAATTGCATGATAGTCAAGTTGTTCATTCTCAACTTGGGCATCAGGCCCCCTGATGTTTATAATTCCTTAAACAGCAAATTGAATAGCAGAGACAAAGAAAGGCTTAACTATTACTCCACTCCGAATTGATTACAAGGCCCCTAAAAATATTAAACATTAGTCAATAGAAACAGGGTGGCACGATGGCTCAGTGGTTAGCACTGCTAGCGCCAGGAACCCGGGTTCAATTCCACCCTCGGGTGGCTGTGTGGAGTTTGCACATTCTCCCTGTGTCTGCGTGGGTTTCCTCCGGGTGCTCCGGTTTCCTCCCACAGTCCAAAGATGTGCAGGCTAGGTGGATTGGCCATGCTAAATTGCCCATAATGTTCAGGGATGTGTAGATTAGATGGGTTATAGGGGATAGGACTGGGTGGGATGCTCTGAGGGGCAGTGTGGGCTTGTTGGGCTGAAGGGCCTGTTTTCACACTGTAGGGATTCTCTGATTCTTCACACTAATGGAGCAGAATCATAACATGCAGGCCAATGGAATTGCATCTCATTAGTACCCAAACTCTCAATTTCTATGCAATTTCCTGTTCTCCCACATGGTGCAGAGAAACTGGACAGGGAAAACACATAAAAGTCACAATGGGTACCTCCAGGCTTCCATCTTGACCAGTGATTCCCTACATCTCAAGACATACAACTACCTGTGCTTCCGGTCCACAGAGTTCAGCATCAAGCATACATCAGCATTACATCATGGCACCAACTTCCCAGTAAACTTTAATCGCTGCTGCATGGACCTCTGGAAGCTATTCATTGGTACGCTGACTGACATACATATATGAGTGACTGTACCCCTGACTAATATCTGTGCAACTCCCTGATGGACTTACCACAAATCTCTGGATGCAATGGACTTGCAGGAATGACTGTGGCCCACTCCCCTACATTGATATGGGGCCACTGACCCTAACTGCCCCAAGCTGCAGAGTGACCATGTCCATGCTCCTGGAGTGAGATCAGACGCTGTCCCCGGCAGACTGTGGTGACACCCCTCAAGTGATGACTGCTCTCCCTCCTTAATTTGAGGGAGGACTACTTGCGTTAGCCTTTGAGACATTGCCATTTGCATGAAGCACTCAATGTGGTTCTCACATAAGCCCTGGCACATGACGTAAGGGTAAGATCGATGTAACAGTGTAACACACAGCAGCTGTCTGCAGCTTTGACTGATCTTTGCTGACAATCATGACAAGCTGCTTGGTTTTGTGCCTGAACTAAAAGCCAAGGCAACACAGAAACATGGTGAGCCTGTCCATTCTCAACGAGACAACAAATTACAAAGAAGCCAAGACAGAGACACTGTGAGCATTCAAATAGGCACAAAGTGAGTGAGTGAGTGCTAGGAGGCCAAGTGAGGAGTCCTCAGATACACTTTGCTTCAGTCCATGAAATGGACCTTAAGGGTGGGAGACAATAGTGACATGGGTTACTGTGGGTGGGAAAGGGACATTGATGGTCACCACTACCTTGTTTCTGATGGAGTGGGGGGAAACAGTGCAGCATGATGATTGGCACATCTAAGTTGTAGAGCTGGGGCACAGGGATAATATATTTACATCTTCATCTTCCAATGAAAGTTTATCAATAATATGCTACAAGAGTGTAAACATGCTTAATACTGATGTAGTTAGGAGGGGAGAAAAGTAACATGAAAGTTTGAGGCCGGATTACTCAGATAAGCCTGTAACTCACTCAATGAAGTATGAGCTGTGTTACCTTCCATCCTTGTGCAGTTTACAAATGTGCGATGGAAATGGATGATGACTGCAAGCACACCCGGAGTTGGTGCAGCAAGTATTTTTTTCTGTCTTAGCACATGAGCTCTACTTGTGAGTGATATCCCTTCGAGGGGACTGCATTAATCAGGCCCTAACACAGAACAGGGTGAAGACATCTATAATGATAAAAGTAAAATATTCTGAAGTGTCACCCCCAGACTCGAAAGGTGAA